TTGGCGGGGGTCGGCTTCGCAGCAGTTGTTTACGCCTCACCGAATCTAATTCTCGGCAGAACAAAATGGCTCGTTTCAACAAGCTTTGTGGCCGTAAGCTCTTCCTCGCCGCTGTGTCTGGGCGGCGCTTAACACCACGGAGCCGTAACGTTAAACGCGGTAGCTTTGGGGTTTTGCTGATGGAATTTTGAGGAGGAAGATGAAGAAGGAGAGGTTTAAAACAGCAAGGATCGCTTTGGTCATCACTGCATCTTCGCTCTCTAAAGTCGGTAATCTTATATTGCTCCGAAGCTCAGATATGGCTTGTTGCACGGCTTGCTGGTGTGGATCGTAGACTGACGAAGACGACGCTTTGACTAGCATGATGGGGTATTGTCTCACCGGTCGGAACTTGAAGCTGCGGAGCACTTGGGCGGCGGGCATTAGGTAAGAATCCGGACTGCCACTAGTTGACGTGACATTATGAAGATGAAGAAGAAGAAGGCATGTTTGGATCGGTGGGTTGCGGCAGCTGATCTCCTATAGCCACAGGGGACCGCCGTAAAAAGTCTTCTGGGAAAAAACTCTCATCTCCATCTCCATTGTAAGCTATTAAAAAGATCACGAACTACTTGAGTGACAAACACATGCATACATATATATATATATATATGTATATTAATATACATTGAATTATATTATTTAGTATTTACCTCATTGGGAGACCCTAATTCATCTCGCCACTCCTGCAACCATGAAAACAGCCGTCTGCAATACATAAACAGACGAAAAGAAGCCCACGTCACGATTATTTCATTACTATAAAGCTCGAATGGACCATAACCTTTGACTGCAAAATGAACAAACCTTAACTCCTGCTTCCTGTAATAAAGACAAAAAGGTGTTAGGTTAGGTTACCACGTTCGTTTTCGTTAAATTGCTTCTTCTTTTTCTTCATCAAATTTGCATTTGATCTAACTTACCCGATAAAATCGTCGCTGCGTGTGATGAGATGCTCGTTTTGAAGCTCCGATTCCCTCGGCTCAATGTAAGGACTGTAATTCCTGTAAGCAAATCCCGGAACGGGGCCACTGTAGCAAAGAGATTTCACTCGTTAATGGTGAAGAAAAAAACTATACCTAATTGTAGCAGGAAAAGAATAGGGGAGTGAAATTGTCATACTGATTGTTTTCGAGAGGGAATTTTAATTGACGATATTCGATGAACAGCACCAGACCTTCGGGTTGGATCATGTTTAATTCATTATAACATCCATCCAAACCAATTAAACACTGCAAAAAAAAAAAAAAATAGTTTCTCAGTTGTAAATCACGGTGCAAGCGAAAGAGACATAATATTAAGTGATGAAGAAGATCACTTTGCTTGCTGCAGCCATCAGCAAATGTATTTGCAGCCAGTCAACTGCATAAGAAATTCGAGAAAACTAGAACGGGCCGCTTCATCGAGCTTGAAGACAGCGTCCATGTAGACGAAGAAGATCCCCCTATTTTTTACCCCTAAACTGCTGGTTTTCCGGCTCATCATATCATATTGGTTGTTGTTCCCTAGAAAAGTTTATCATTGCTGAGAACTGGTGCTTGATGTAATAAAGGTAATCCGATATGGGAGGAATATATAGGGAAAGAAATATCTGGTCAAGTGAGAACTGAGAAAAGTATTAAGGATAGAGAAATGGTCCATTTCGATTGATACAAGACGAAGAACCATGGAGCTGCTGCCAACCAAGAGAGAAAAGTAAAGGGTCGGCCAACCTTCAAGGTCTATCATTTGTTCGACAAGAGTCAACGTGGGAGGAACCTGGGTATTTCTTTTAGTCATTTTCATCACTTCAGTTTACCACATTTAAAACTATTATGTTTTATTTTGTACACAAATAAATCTCGTATTGTCTGAAAATAAAAAAAAATGTTCAATTATAGAAATACAATGAGATTCTACATTTGCTTCAAAATTAAGGGATTAATATTAATTACTAAATTAACCCACATTAGTTTAATTGTCAACTAAGTAAAAATAAATCTCATAAAAATTAATTTAATTGCTAATCTCATTAATTTTATTTATATATCAATTATACGTCACATGATAATAAAATATTATATTCTCTTGATATACAATACACCAATTTTCAGTCTAAACTTATAAAAGTGAATTAACAAATCATCATCTTATTTATATAATAGTTGTCCCTTGTTCCATATGTAATGGGGTAAGGGGAGTATGATAGTAGGCTGCCCTCAACACCAGGTTGAGAGCAGCTTCCGTAGAAGACCTCCGAATTATAAAATGCCCTTCGTGAGACTCGATTTCACGACCTCAAGATTAAGAACCTTGTGTTCTATCAACTGAGCTAAATAGTCATATCCATCTCTTAATTATATGATTGATATAAATAATTTAAAATATACATATACATTTATCAACTTTCACATGCATCGAGGAAGATTCAAAGTTCTAACCTAACATATTGAAAAAATAGTGTGATGCGGATAGTTTTTGCCCTAATTCCAATCCTATTTGAGCAGTTAGACGTTTGACCGATTATTTCTTTAACCACTACCTTATGAGTCACATAATCCCTTTTTTACTCTACAACGATAAATTAATGGGTTAACCCTGCCGGGGCACGTCAATATGATATTAATCACTAAACTTGGTCAAGCAAATGCCTAGTCCAATCTTAATTTTACGTAACATTTATCCACATAAATTATTTTGACGGTCCAAGCTCATTGATTTTATTCAGATAAAGTGTGTATTGATTTTTCATTGCCATCACAGTAAATATTTTATTTTTATTATAATATTTCGGAAAAAAGGGTTCAAACAACCCTACTTGATTCGGCTTAATTATGTATTGAGTCTTGAGATTTGGGAGTACTCATCTCATGGTTTCATTTTATTACTTTCAAATATATATAGTTTTATCCATCATTTATAAATATAATTTTTTACGCTTGTAAATAATAAATATTGTATTATACATTTACCTTAATTATTATTAATAATATTTATGTAAAACAAAGATAATAATGAACTCACAAACAGTTTGGTTTTCATAAGCCACACTGAAGGGCTTTAATCCCCCCTCCCCCCCTCTCTCTGTCTCTAGTGGCTGTCAGAGAGGGGTGAGATTCCAAGAAATGTTGTTAATTAAGAAATTTCTATGAACCCATTGAATTTGACCCAATTTAGTAATTAATGCTACAGTTGATGAAAGCAACACCAGCCAAACACCAAGGTTTTATTTAAAAACAAAAACTAATCATTAGTATAGGTGTATTCGGTTCGATTCTTCATTAAAATATAAATTAAACTGTAATGATGCTTAAACCGAAATTGATTGACATAAAAATTACGGTTTTTATTCGGTTTGATTTTGTAGTTTTTGACTATTCATTATTTTTCAAACTCATCATCTAAAAAAGATAATTCTATAGCTTAAATCGAATGCAAATAATATAAATTTAAATTAATAAAAATATTAATAATTCTAAGATTTTATTTATTTAAAATTTGTCTTATAATAAATTTAAAATGAATTTGTTTTGGATACTTATTTTCTTTTATTTTTTAATTCGATTCGATTCAAACAATTTTTATATGAAAAAATCGAACCGAATTATATATATTAATTTTTAATATATATAATATAATTCAAATTGATTTTTTCGATTTTCTTGATTTTGTTGCTCAGCCCGAGCCATTGGTTTCTTCAAAATAAATAATAACGAACCATTGGTCATCACTCACAGACAAGCATGCATGATGAACATGAATGTGAAAGCGTTGATTTCCCATTTACAGTCTTCCTCTTGGATGTGAACATATTTCTTGCAGCTATATCTGTCTGTCTTCGTCGTCCCTCTCCACAGGAACATGACTGCAACTTGCTGTATACAACAACAACAATAACAACAAAACCTAATTCTCATTATATATTAACGTTAATGTCACATATATGTTGTAGATATATTAAAAATATTAATGTATGTGAAATAAAGATTTTTAAATTCTGATCACACGTGACAGAGGACAAAAATATACCTACTCCACTCTTACTTTTAATTAAGTTTCAATTTTCTTAGAATTCTTTTGTTTCTTTGTCAAATCATAATTTCATTGGTTATTTTGTAAAGTTGTTATGCCCTTTTCGTTGATGAAGTTTAGTTGCTGTAAACTGATACGAACTTCGGATTTTCGGATAGATTATGATTGAAATCGAGTTTATTATATTATTAGTTAAAGTACTCATTTTTATTCGAAATTGTTTACGTTGGGAAATTGATAATATGAAGATCGTGATCGAAAACAAATCGAATCCAAAGAAAAGGGTTAAGTTCGAGGGTGCAAGGAAGATAGTAATTAAAGTACATTGAGGCAACATGTGAGGGCAATTATTTATTTAATTATTTTGATCGATGACGACTTGTGATAAGTCAACCTCATTTCAAGTGACAGTATGATTTATAACGTTTATAAAAAATATTTTTATAATATTCTATATCAGTTTTATGAAATATTTAGGGTATGAACTGCCTAAGCATGATATTTTTATAATGGATTTTCATGATCCGCGTCTTCTCTGCACGTGTCAGATTTTTCAGCGAAAGCGTATTTCATGATTCGTGTCTTTGTTACGTGACGTCAATTCAGATAAAATCTCGTGAAGGCGTGTTTCATAATCTGCGTCAACTCGAGCAAAACTTTGTGAATATAAGTCTTATAATATGTATTTTGTCGAAAAGAATGATAGATCAATAATATTTAGAAAAAAAGATGTGAATGTATATTTGGTTGTTAGAGTATTATTAGGGTAAAATGGCCTATTACTTGCCGTAACCAAGAGACCAAATAAACAATAGTTGTATATTGTAATTGACATTGGAAATAACAGCGTACCAATGGTAAGCCGACCAAATTGTACGATTCGACCAAAGCTGCTTTTACAGCCGCACAAATAAAGGCTCCTGTTTTTATCTTCAATCGGACTACATTGTTGATTGGTTCAGCTCACCTTCTCAGCAAAGACTTCTTTCACTGACCTGTCAACCAACCATCGGTGAAACGTCTCGAAATTCTTGCATTCTACGCTCCGATCTATCATTTGCCAATTTACTTTTCAATTCTTCTTGATTTCTCTTCTTCTTCATGAGGCTTTGGTTCACTGTTGAGAAGGGAGAAGAAGGAGACGATGGGAACCGATTCTTCGATTCAAACAAAGCCGATACCATTATCGACGGAAGAAGAAGATCCTTCAACCCAATCCACGGCGTTACTGCCTTTCAACACCGATGCTTCTTTGGAACCGGAAATTAAAGGATCTCCTCCAAAGCGCACCACCATCATCTTCATCGCTTTAATACTGCTCACATGCGTTGCTCTTTCCGCTGCCTCTGCCTTTGCCTTCCTTTTTTACTCTTCTTCATCTCCAGCTGCAGCGCGCAACTTCTCTCGCGCTTTGAAAAAACTGGAAAAACCGGTGGTTCTTTTGGTTTCCTCTGATGGGTTTCGATTTGGGTACCAATTCAAGACCCCAACACCGAACATCCACCGTTTGATTGAAAACGGAACCGAAGCCGAGATGGGTTTGATTCCCGTTTTTCCTTCCCTTACTTTCCCTAATCATTATTCCATTGTTACTGGTCTTTATCCTGCTTACCATGGTATTATAAACAACCATTTTATCGATCCTAAAACTGGCGAGTTCTTCCATAGTGCTAGTCATGAACCCAAGTGGTGGTTAGGTGAGCCACTTTGGGAGACTGTGGTCAATCATGAACTAAAGGCTGCGACCAATTTTTGGCCCGGAACTGAGGTTAAAAAGGGTTCTTGGGATTGTCCTGAAAAGTTGTGTATGAAATATAATGCTTCTGTTTCCTTTGAAGATAGAGTAGATACTGCTTTAAGTTATTTTGATTTGCCTAGTAATGAGATTCCTGCGTTTATGACTTTGTATTTTGAGGATCCTGATCATCAGGGTCACAAGGTTGGACCTGATGATCCCCAGATCACTGAAGCTGTTGCTAGAATTGACAGAATGATCGGCAGGTTGATTAATGGGTTGGAAAAAAGAGGGATTTTCGAGGATGTTACTATAATTATGGTGGGAGACCATGGAATGGTCGGTACATGTGATAAAAAGTTGATCTTTCTCGAGGATTTGGAGCGGTGGATCGAAATTCCGGCTGAGTGGGTTCTGTCCTATAGTCCGTTGCTTGCTATTCGTCCGCCACCAGGCAATGCACCATCTGATGTTGTTGCGAAGATGAATGAAGGACTGGAATCCGGGAAGGTTGAGAACGGGAAGTATCTGAAGGTGTATCTTAAGGAGGATCTACCTAGTCGGCTACATTATGCTGCAAGCGACCGAATTCCTCCCATAATCGGGATGATTGAAGAGAGCTTTAAGGTGGAGCAGAAAAGGACTAAACCAAAAGAGTGCGGAGGATCACATGGATATGACAATGCAATTTTCTCCATGAGGAGCATTTTCATCGGTCATGGTCCTCAATTTGCCAGGAGGAAGAAGGTGCCATCTTTTGAGAATGTTCAGATCTATAACTTGGTAACTTCAATTCTTAATATACATGGTGCTCCCAATAACGGATCTTCAGCATTTCCCGATACTATTCTTTTGCCTACACAGTAATAGAACAAGACTGTGCATACCTTTCCTAAAAGTCTTGGTTTTCACACCAAGAAGACAAACTGCCGACTCCTCTGAACCTCGAAGAACCAAAGCCCTGGTTATTTTGTCACCTTTTTTAGGTTCATGGGGGGAAAACATAGAGATTTCAGCAATCATTTCTGGAAAACTACCTGGATCTTCCTTGGAAAAGTACTTGCATGTTTCAATTCTGGTGTCGTTTCACAGCTTGGAAATTAGATGTTGAGAAAAGACGTCCATTTCAGCTTTCAGAAACGCTGAAATTGGCAATTTCTTTTTATTTTACAAACTTAGAACATTGGAGGTTTATGGGATATAGGAGAAAGAAACAACCTTTCATTGATCACTTGATCTAGTTTGATAATGTCATGTTTTTTGCTGGCAGTTTCTGTCTAGTCTCCGGTTACCGGAGGTGAAATTCCATTTTACTATTCTTCTTTTACACTTCAGAATCTTCTTTCTTCTATTCTCAGATGGAAAAAACTGAGACGAAAACCAATTAAACTTGCTAAAACTTCATATTTTTAGAAAATCTACTTATTTTTTGGACAAGTTTCTTTGTTACGATGAATCATTACATGTTTGATAGACTCACAGTTATTCCAGAATTCAGACAAAAAAACACTTTGCACTACACTTGTTCTGAAAAAGTAATTTCAGCACACCCCAACACCAAAATTACATGAAAATATTGAAAGAGCACACACTTTAGTCTAATTTCTTTATTTGTTTACACGCACTACCAAAATTCAGAGCGTGTTTGTTTGTGCATATTGCCAATTTTTTATACAAACTAGGAATCCTTACCATCTAGCTCAAGCATACTCTGCAGTAGTTTGCACAAACGTGAATCTCTGCAATCCCACTTTCTGGTGATGAATTCAACTAATTTATAACCTAATCACCGTGTTTCTGATGTCACCGAGGCCGGTTGGGTCAAGTAACAAGCAGGATAATGCGGTTAAGCAAAGTTTCGAGTTTGCACTCCCGACTAGACTCCTATGTGCCTGCTTATTCATAGGTCGGTAAACTGTCTCAAAAGAAGATGACAATGGAGAACTTCAGGGGCCGAATCAGACCAAAAAAAATCACAGCTGGAAAATAGACCCCTTTCCACTTTGCATGCAAATGATAACAGTCTAGTCAAAGAAGAAACAGAGGCATCTTTGCCCCATCCATTAAACTTTTAAAGGAATCAGCATCAATCATATCAGCTTAGCTGCCTCTCACCCTCTTGTTTTTCATGTTACTTTATGAACAGTTCAAGCAACTCATCTAAATTCCATGAACACGAAAAAATATAGAACAGAGACAACAATTCAAAGTTGAACAAGTTATTACAATGCATCACAAATATTAAACATTTTATTAACTGGCTGATCTCATTTTTCATTGTTGGATTTGTTTCCTCAACCAATATTGTTTCTTTTTCATCAACTGATCCGTGATTCCCACTCTTTCTAATGATCCAACATGCTTGTATAAGCATAGATTGTACTCGGAACTCGATTTTTTTGAACTAGTTTTTCGTACAATGAAACACTTTAAACTCACACTTTGGCGAAATACATTGCAAAAGCAGCCTTGAAGTGTGTTCTTGTTTAATAATGGCATCCTCTTTCTCCATCAGAACCGCCCCAACAATCCTCTCATAGCCTTCTCCGCCACTGCTTGCCACGTAAGCCACGAGCGCCGCTTGAGCCGGCGGCAAGCTGGGGTTATAGGCCGCTGATTCCATGTAAGACCCTTTATATATCTTCCCTTCAACGTCCAGTAATGCCACTCCAGATGGACACCCGCTGTACGGCGCGTGTGACATATTGGCCGCTTCAAGAGCCGCGTGTTTTACGTCATCGCCACCGTTGATTTTTCCGTTGCGCAAATCGTCACAAAACGAGAAGCCGTTTCGGTGAGGCTCCAGGAGAAGAGGGACGTCTTTGTGTAGCAAATCGTCCGGGCCGAACCTGTGAGGTAAAAAATGGGACAGAGGAGTAAATTCTTGGTCTTTATCGTTAAAATTGTTCATTTCGTTTTCTTTTTCGTCTTCGGACGAAGTAATGAGGATCTTGACATCGGGGGCGCCACGGAGCTCTTGGAGGAATTGGCGGCAATGTCCGCAAGGGGCGGCGGAGACGGCGAGGTACTTAAGACACGGTTCCGCATTGAGGGAAAGGTTGGCGATCAGGAATTGCTCGGCGTGGACGGATTGGTTGAGGGGAAGACCTGGGAATTCAAGATTGACTCCGAAAAAGATCCGACCAGACGATCCCATTCCGATGGCTCCGACGTGGAATTTGGAGATTGGCGGTCGGGCTAGGATCTGGGCGGATTTGACCAACGACCGGAGGAGTTGGAGCACGGTTTGGCCTAATTGTTCGGCCATTTCTTCGGCTTCGGCGGAGTCGATCACGAATCTGGGTCGATCCATTTTGAGATATACGTTGATGGGTTGACCTGTTTACAAAGAGGACAAGCGGGTCTTTGGATGAGGATCGAGGACGACGAGCGTTCTTTAAAATGAGGAAGAAGACGGTAAGAGGGAAGGAATGAATGAGTGGAGGTTACATATAGCTGATTTGGCTTTATGGTTGTCATGTAAACTGTAATTAATTGTTTACTACAATATTTTTACTATATACCTCCTTCGAAGTTAATCACCGTATCATTTTTTGCAAGCTTAGGGGTTGTTTAGGTATTTAAAGTGTAATTGAATTAATTAGTGTTATTGATCATTTTATTAAATATATTTTTTTACATGAAATATATAGTCAACATGCCTCAATGTTTCCAAATTTTTCTCTTTTACAATTATTATACTTAAAAAAAAAAGTTAGTAAACCCTCTCTCCCTTTATTTTCTTTTTCTTGAGACTTTGTCTTCTTTTTTTTTATAGATAATGTGAACTCTTTCCTTTGCTTTCACCAATTTTAATATTAATCGTTGTTCTTTATTTTTTTAACGTTTTTAATAAGATTAATTTTGTATTTGTAATACGTTTTTCGTTTTCTTTCTCGACCTTTGGTTGTTTTTTTATTTATGTTTTCTTAGAGTGAGATTTGACGACACCACAACTGATCAAAATGACACTTATTTGTAGTCTTGTTGATCTTACTTGCTATGGACCATTGGGTTGAATTTGGATGCGCGATTTTGCATTCGTAGATAGTTTCTCGCGACATTTGACTCTGATTTGTGATTCTCGGTGGTCTTTCAATAGTTTAATCTCCTTTCGTGATTTGTTTGTCTGTGTAGTCATATTTTTTCGTATCTATTTTTTATTCGAATCTTTTGGTTGGATTTTTAACTTTTTTTCATGTATGATCATTATTTTCATGTATGATCATTATACGATTTAAAGTGATTAATATATAGGAAAATGTATAAATTATATATTTGTTTACCACGATAATCGTAACCCTTATAATTTTACATACTTTCACTTTTTAATAATCCCAACTACTTTCGTTAAAAAAACATGCCTCAAAGTTTGCAACTTGAAACCAGACTTTATGGTGCATTCATGTAAATCCATGTGCATTCATATGAAGGCATCTATTTAAGCTTTTCTTTTATAAAACAAAGAATATCACCTCTCTCGTAATCATGGAAACTTGGATCTTATATTAATATAGGTTCTTCCTTGAACTATCCATGCCGCGTAATCATAATTTCAGAAGAAGAAGAAGAAGAAACTCAAAACTATTTATTACATGGTTAATCTAACGTACTTATTTCATACAATCTTATGTATATACACGTGTCATTATTGAGAACCGATACCTTCAACGAAAAAGGGTAGCTAAATTCCAAAGAAAAATCTGAAAGCGGAAGTTGTGAGAGATTGATCAGATCCAAACCTGTTTGTAGCGGCGGAAGAGTTCTTCGGTTTGAGCATATTTCAAGGCACTGCAGCCGATGACATAGACACAAATCAGTACGACCACTGCCACGATGAGAATAATGTTGGCTTTCCTCCACTCACTCCTCAGATTCCCCAGCAGACCAGCTCTGCAGGAGTTGCAGTTACAGCAGAGTTGGGTCTGGTCATTGCTCCACAGGTTGCAGTCAGGGTCCCCAATTGGGCTCGTCGGGTTCGTCCACATTGTTGGGTTCACAAAAGTGTAGCCGCAGATTGTTGGGGGTTTACAGCACCCTGACCGTCAAACAGAAGAACCCAAATAATCAAACCTTAAAGTAATCAGAAAACGACCAGAACTTATCGGTTTCACACCATGTAATGGAAAAGCTGGCAACTATAATAAACTTCATTGAATCAATGGGGTCAAAGCCCCCCATGATTCCATGCTAATAATTAATCTAGTAGACACTCATTTCTCCATTGACACAAACTTCTCCCACCCAGAAAATTAATAACTTTTTCAACTAACGTTTTGTCTTGCCTGGCTGCCCCATGATTCTTTTCAGATGCATTATCAAAAGTTACGATTTCATTACTGAATTCAATCAAGTAAAAAAGGAAGTGAACTAATTCTGTTTACTAATGGCTTTCCTAGACCATAAGCTATCAAATTCACTAAAAGGGCACTGATATTTCCATCAAATCATCAGAATTATTGAGAGATTATACAATTGTCCATAATTGAAACATAGAGATCTAAAAACCAGAGCATGAACTTGCCTGAAGGGGAGAGAAGGGGAGAGAGATGAGCGGCAAAGAACTGATCGACGGTCATATATTGTTGTTGAGCTAATTTAAGACAAACATCAGAGTCAGCTAGGCATGCCCTGACCTTGTTCCAGCTCTCGGAGCCAACTGGAGTACCCATCAAGTCCATACTCCTTATAACCCCGACCGGGCACATCGTAGCTCCCATCAGGACGAGTAACTACGAAAGCAAAGACTAACAAGATGAGGAAGAGAGCAATGAGGATGGCTATACAACAAAGATAGAAGCCCAAGAGAGCTTTCTTGTAGCAGCAGGCACCGACAAAGCCAGCAAGGGAGACAAGGAGGATGAGGAAGCCAAGGACAATGACAGGCCATCGGAAAATGTCGATGAAAACGTTGTATGGCTTTTGGGCGAGCCAGATGCCAGAGGCAATGATGGAGATCTAGCAAAGGCCACGAAATTGAGAACCGCTGTTATGTAATTAGCTACTCCCATAATTTGACAAAGGAAGAGAGGAGAGCCGTTGGGAGAAAGGAGAGCGGTATGTTAATGTCTGAGCTCTGAAGATTAGCTTTTTGGGCTGTTTTGGACTTTTCGTCACTTCATAAAGTTATAATTTGGTGAAAAATTATATATAATTTTATAAACAATATTAATATGACATTAAATAATTTATTATTTAAAAAAAAATTGATATGTTCAAAATTATACTTAACATTATCTGAATATAAGACTTTGAAAGGTTAATCTTTTAACCATCTTCATTTCTAATTTACAATAACAATTTTTGTTCTCGTGAAAGATTTTTTAGAGAAATAAAAAGTACAAAAGGTGAGTGGAAGCAGAGGAAACAGCAAAGGAATAAGAAATAATGGAAATGAAACGTTGATGACAGATGCAAATAAGGTCTCCTACCACATGGTAAGAGGAGTTACAACTTGTAGTAGCGATGAAATGCTCTGCAAAAATAATCAGCGCATCTTATAGAATTGAACTCTTGAAACCACACAACGACGACCGTTCAATGAATATTTAACCATTATATCGACATCTTTAACAAATCAAAGATGCATTACTACCATATTGTCATTAGCCAAGGGCAAAGTTATTCTAGGATGTTTGCCGATTTGTAACCATTGATAAGATAAAAAGGACAAAGGATGGATATATTCTGTAAACTACCGTTGGATTGAAAATGGAATTTGGGAAATGAAAATACAAACCTGTAGAGAAACCCATCAATTTGTGGCATCTGGTAAATGAAACATCAAAATAAGCAGCAAAAGCATGGATGTAGTCGTCACGTCCTGCAATAAGCTTGAAAGGTGCAGTGAAAGAAGCATCCCCAGGAGTCATCTTGGAAATATCCATTGTCTGAAACCAAAAAAGCAAAATGGATAATTCAGATGCATTCCAAACACATTATTGTCAAAAGAATTTCGAACAAGCATGTATATATAGATACCACATAGGAATGCTCTTGTTATGTATTTCTCACCCTGAGAAGATGGCAATTTGTCACAATTTGTTTCTGGTCAACCGTGTCAACAAGAGGTTCCATCAAGGCTTGCTTTTCTATGCAACTCATATCAAAACCATAAACATTATTCCAAACTGCAGCAAGATGATGTCAAAGAGAAAAAAATGGGAATATATAAGATTATAGAAGTCGAATTGCAAAATAGAAAAATTGGTTGAATGCATATATGCAAATAAAAACACGAACACCTAGAATAATAACAAATCATGATACATGCACCACACGCCCTAAAGCTAAGGATGATGAATTTACTATACCACTTGGCCCTAAAGATGATAAATTGCACAAGAGAAGTTTACACAATGATGGGATTAAAGTTCCAATATGATCTAACCAAGAAAAATTGCATGATATATTAGCAAGAGTAAAACAGGTAGAGGTCAAGAAGACAAGAATATTAGACCATGAACCACTCTGCTGTCATATTAGATTTGTAGTTGGCTGCACATACCGGATAATCACAAGAAAAAAAACCTATACATGCAACCTCACTTCACAACAAAACATAAGCCATGCCTAACACATACACCTCCATAAATGGCCAAGCATTTACCATACTGAATTTCCACCTTTATATGTATTCATGTATTCCAGTTTGAATATCTTTTCTGAAAGGAAAACACCTAAATTACTCATCAAGAGCTTCCCACTACATCATAAAAGTGCAAAAACAGATTCCCAACCATTAAAAAGCTTTGAGTGCGGACATTTATAGTGTCAACATAGCAGCGACTTACAAGCCATTTATCACGGGCATATAACACTGTATTCAACATATTTTCGAACAATAAAAAGTAGCCCATCCACTCTGATATAATAATGTCTACACTTGCAACAGGAATTTTGATTTCTTCAATCTTTCCTTTCAAAACTGTGACAACTGGAGCAATAAAATAATCGTTGGGTAAAACGTGCCCTCAAATAGAGGAAGAAATACAATAACACAATTTCAATAACCTCACCATCAGACAAGCCATTTGTTTCAACAATTTGTTAGGCCATATCAGCCATATGAGAGCATTCGACCTAGGAATGGAAGAAATATTAACCAAGCTAGGAAAAGAAGAATAGACACTAGGAGTGTAAGAATTTGGTCAGAAAGATTATTAACAATATATATAACAGAAATAAAAAGAAAATGTAAACTGAAGACATACGGCATAAACATGTGCTGCCCCTGCTTTTGCACAAAACAGGGACAAAATTCCAGTTCCAGCTCCCACATCAAGAACTACTTTGTTCTCAAACAGAAACTTATTTCGATAAAAAAACATTTTGATAAGTCCTGGTTCGCACTACATCTTTCAGCATTTCCTGAAACACAGGTGTCAGGTTAACATAGAGGATAAACATTTCCCAGACAAAAAGGAAAAG